GCAGCTGGTCACAAATGCCTGCGGAACTACACTCCGCTCCTGCTCAAACAGCGGTGGGGAAAAGGGAGGAATGACCCATTCTTGCGTTTCCAACTCCCCACATCATTCTTCCTGTTAACCCACAGCACCCCGCACTCGCCAAGGACAGTCAAAGGGTTGTATCCAGTTTCTCAACGTCTTGACAAGTAAAAGAGCAGACTGGAGAGGCTGGGTAGTCCAAATGACGGGGAAAGAGACTGGAGATAGGAAACCCATGTTTTGTTCTCACCTCCTCTCCAGACTGCTGCTTACCCCTGCCTTTCCCCCCCCCACCCCCATTTCCACATATGTTTGTTACAAAGGGCACCCAGCACAGTTCAGCAATGAATCTATAACATTCTTAGAGGGGACTAGATGCAAGTAAACAATGCATTACAAGGGGGTTGTTCCTTTTTGGGTAGAGCAACTTAATCTTTTACACACCTCTTATTCCTCGTCTCAATCTGGTATAACGTGCAAGAGAAAATTAGGTGTCCATTACAGCTTTTAAGTTATCATAAATATTTAGAACTGATTTTAAGTAAAACAGCACAGCTGAAGTGAAAATCTATCTGGGCTTCTGGAAGAGGAATTGTGGCTGTTCAATCAGAAATGCTGTATTTGAGCTTGACACCGTCATCAGCCCTTTCAGGGGCTAGTGCTCCTGCTTGCTGTGAGGGGGAATAACAAGTAGTTTTCGTATCCTAATGCTAAAAATTTCCAAATGAGTCATCCGAGAAACAAGATGTCTTTTTTACCGATTATTCCAGCGTTCTTGACAATGGTCCCCAGGTTTTGCTGTTTTTCCCGTATTATTGCCCCAATCCCAAATTACAATACATGTATTTCCTCAGAAAATACTTAATCTCCCTTTTCCCGTTTATTATAAAAAAAAACTCCTGTGCTTCCAAGAGAGACTTTCAATTTGTGGGGCACAAACTTGATTCAAAGAGGTTCACAAAGCAGAACAACAACAAAGAAGTCCCAGGCTGCTGTCGAGTGTGTCGTCTCACACTCGGGTCTAGGCTGCAACTGAAGAACTATTTTAGAAAGCTTCACTTGGGAAACAAAGGTGAAAACCACTAATCTCTAAACGATGTTAATGGCAGGCATAGGCTTATGAGCAGATCGTCCCCACTATGAGAGAAATCAGTTTCCACCAACCATTAAAAAAATGCTTCCACAGCAGTCTCAACCTGAAATTCACTGGGGAATTCCCAACTCCTAATCATATCCCAGAACACTATCCCAAGCATCTCTGATTCCACAGGTCTAACCACAGTCTTTACTGGAAAATCTTAAATACACCTGGCAATTTCCAAGAGGTTTAGAAGGAACACAGGAGACAGGGGTTTAAGTTATTTAACCATTTATCCTGTATTTCCCTGTCCTTTCCTGTGCCTTCCCTTCCTACAAAAGGCACAAAACCACAGCGAGTAGGAACTTTTGAAGCACACTTCCTCAACTTTACTGCACCTGCAGAACAGAGTATTTTTGTACTCACCTGGGTTAAAAATCCTGAATGAATCTGATACTAATGAAGCCCTACATGAGGAAATTTTTCCTCTTAGCTACATTGCACATATAAAGAATAGAGAACATACTGTTAGTAAGTAATACCTAACGCTTACATTATGCGTCCAGTTCAAGTCTCCTTACACGAGGTTTTCTATAAACATGAGCTGTGGTTGCTACACGTCTCTGTTAGCAAGCGAACAATGTACCAAGACACAGAACTAATCAAGCAAGCCATACCTCTCGCTTCATCCTTTAATCTCTGTACAGAAACCAGCAACGACTCCTTGTCATCCAGTTCACTTTCTAAAAATGCGTTTCTCTCAATAGCCTGGTTCAGCCTTTGTTCAAAGTCTTCCAATGAAACCACTGTTGCCCTAGGAACAAAATCCAGAATATTAGGTTCTTCAGCTCAGCTAACATAAAAATGTATTCAAAAACATAATAGAGAAAAATGTTAGCAGGGTCTACATTCAAGTTAGTCATTTGAAAGCTATGGAAATGCTTCTTAGAAAGGACTAATAAACTCCACAGAAGCAAGGGAATAAGATGAAAAGAACATGATAGCATCTGGCTCCCAGAGACGTACCAAAGAGCTGGGAAAGAGCCAGTCCAGCACACCCACCTCCATTTTTCCCAAGCTATATGTATGACCAGTGCATTAGCTCAGGTGCTGCTCTACTCTCCAGAGCTCTGGCAGGCAACAGCCCAGCGAGTGCAGAAAGCAGGGCACTGGGATATTACCTAAGACCCAATTCGTTCCATGATTTCAGTGGGATAACTCATGCGTGTCAAAAGTTAGTCACAGGGCTAAGAGCCTTGTGGAAACAGGGCCTCAGCTCTCAGATCTTTTTGCCAGATAGCCAGAGGCTCATTCCTGGTCCCACTGAGTCAATGGCAGAATTCCCATTCAGCAAAACAGAAGCACAACCTACTCCAAAACTGGGTGTTTCTAACAGCAGCCTGTACATTTTATGCACTTAGACAGGACACATTTGCTCCCTACAGTCATTACGCTGTTCTGCAGGGGAAGAGGAGACTCCTTTAGCCTGTTTTATTTAAAAGGGTCTATGTAAAGCATTAGGTTCTTACTTCAAAGGGGCTTTCGGCTGCAAGGATCACGAGTCACCTAGCTGGTAGTAACAAATGCAGTGCACTGGCCTGGCTTGCTCCGAGCCGACCTGCACTGCTTGTTTCTCACAGGAACACGCAGCACTTCGGTGCCTTTCTTGCTGTAACGTAATGCTACCGGCTGATGGAAGTGAACTCCAAGGGTAAGCTGTACTGTTCAAAGGATCAAGTGTCTTGGGGTTTGTCTGGGGTTTTTTGAGTGTGTATTATTTTCCCTTTTTGAAGAATAAGAAAATTATCAATCTGAGTAGGAAAGAAAAGATCTACTGAAAACTTTATGCAAACAAGGGGTTTGCAGACTTCACCTCTTTGCACGTTCCAAGTCATCGTTGGTCTGCTCCAGCTCCCTCACATACTTATGCAGCTGATCTTTAATGGCCCGTGTCTGGCTCAGGTCATCCTCTAACAACGACACTTGCTTGTAACTTTGCGCATACTGGTGCTCCAGTTTCTCCTGAAAGAAAGAAGTAGCAAGAGAAATATCAGTCGTATACACTCTCCAAGCGATCAGTGGTAAAATGGGACAAGTAAAATACCATACTCGCTGTAGTCTGCTGATGTGGGATTGCTGGTAATACAGAGCAAAAACTGGAGCGGTAGAAGGAACACGCTCTGAACATCAGAACTGGACACAGTATAAAAATCACAAATGCTGCATTGTGCACAGACATCTTGCCACGACACAGCTGGCTGCTCAGAGATGCACCCCTGCATCTGCTCCCAACAGCCTGCACTGACAGCTGCTGTGAAGCCTCAAACACGTAGGAAGCTAGAGAGAAACCTAACTGCACAGGCTCCCCTTCAGTGCCTCTCCCTTGACAATAGCCACGCTGTTTCCAGAACTTGCCTGAGACCTCCATTAGCAAAAATAAGAGCCACTGAAATCTGCTACAAAACCTGCAAGTCCACAATTTCATCTTCAAAAGACTGGAAGAAATCACTCCCGAACACGCTCTCACCAGCTCCGAGAGTACAGAGGTGCTTGTGGAAAAACTACCGACCTTATAAAACATGTACTGACCTTACAGATATAGCTGGGACTGGGTACACGAACAAGTAATTCACAAACTTCATTTCCAGTGGGTAAGTTTCTAACCTTTGCCTTCACTAAAATAACCCAAAACTACCAAAACTGATGCTTTTCCAAGATTCCAAAAGAGGCAAGAACTTGTTAACACAGAGGTATCTACTAAAAGTCACCTTCTGCACATGCAGACCCTTATGCAATTCCTGTCTCCACAGATACGTCTGTTAAGAAATAAAGATGTGCATAAACCACCCATCCTCAAAGCTTTCTTTAAGGCCCTGTAAAATCAAGGAGACATTGCAGGCAAAAAAATGGTATGCAGAGAAAGATGATAACACAGTGGTCTGACAAAGCATACTTGCGTTGTCCACCCTGTTGCTATGCTGATGTTGCCTGTGTAACTAATAAAGCTACTACTTGGCACAGCCTAGTGAATTCAAACAAGCAAGCACAAACTCCATGACAAGAGTTTCATGATGGGAACAAGAAAAACTCTGCCAGCAATTTCCCTGGTAAGTTCCTGACCTTATTTGGAGTACATGCCATACTCAAGTCTGGATCTTAAACAGACAACTCCTTTACTTCATTTGGATATTCAGTCACCAAGAACGGCCCAGACAATCCAAAATCAGATCCAAGACATATCTGTAGGAAGAGGCAATCCTATTACAGAAAAGACCTACCTTTAATGTTTCCACCTCATACTTCAGTCTTTGGTTATCTGCTTGCAAATCTCTGTTCCTCTGCTCAGCTTGCACTAGCTGGGCCTCCAACTCAGCTTCTAATTCTCTGCTTCCCTCCTGAAATTCAGTCAGCTCTTCACGCGCTTCCTGGAAGCTATAAAGAAAGAATTCAATCAGTTGAAAATCTCCCAAGTTAAAACAAAATCCACTGCTCTTTTAAAACAGTAAGCTGAAAAAACAAGACTTTTGAAGTACTTAAGTGTCATCCACAGACCTCTAAGGGGAAAAAGAAAAATGGGGAAATAAATTACGTAAGTAAGCTTAGCTATAAAAGTAAACTAATTCCCTCACATCAAACAAACAGCTACATTAAATGCATGTGTGAATACAAACTTGTATCAAAGCTATTTACAGAATTCATGGCAGTCTGACAACCACTTTGTGCTCCGTTAAATTTCACTGCTAGGAGGACAGAGCCAATGAATTAAACACTCAACATGGTTTTGGCCAAAAAACTATAAGAGATGACAACAGTTTCTGAATCTCTGCACTACCTAGAATTTTAAGGTTCTTGAAAAGCGTGAAGGGTCAAATCTCGCGGTTATTGCGCACTGCGGCAGGAAGCCAGCACATACCTACCTTCTGCTACTGCAAGTTATTAAATACTAGAAGTAGCCATTCCACATACTTTCCTTATTAAATTTGCATCTTTACCACATGTAACAGCTCAGCTCTTAGCAAGCAGAAGAGAACACTAACAAGGTTTTATGAAACAACATATTCACTGGTGTCCAAGAGACAGAGTTTTCCGATACCCCAAACCAGCTCAGGTTTCTCCATGTCCCCTCCATATGCCCACCCCCTTCCCCCAAAAAAACACCAAAACCAAACAAAAAAAGCAGCATGCACCTTGGGCTCTTCAGTCTTGAGAGCGCTTTAACTGGCTTCATCTCAACTGCACGAGTAGTACTGAATGCAAGGAAAGCTTTCCCAAGAAAATCAACTGGGAGCCTCCAATGCCCCCCACTCCAGAAAACCCCCAAACAAACCCCACCCCGCCAAGCAGCACAGCATTACTCAGCCTCTCTTGTCTGTTTTGGTAACCAAAAAAGCCCTGTGCCCCCTACAAGATGCAAACCGCTGGTACAGGCTTGACTACGAGGTACAACACACTTCAATAAATGGCAGCACACACCAAATCAGCCATTTTTCATACCAGTTATTCAAGTACAAGAAGCCCAAGGGAACAGTACTGATACAAGGCAAGCCCAAAGGCACCTTCTTCTGATAAAACGTCAAGATACTACTTAAGGCAGCACTTTATTATACAAAGATGCACATGATTGCAAAAGGGCTCTGCTCTTGCTCAAACATGCTTGAAACACAGCCTGGAGTTCATGGCATGGTAACGCTGTGCAAGAAACACCCAGCTCCCACAAGGCTGGAAATTTTAAAGCTGGATTTAAAGCTGGAAATACAGAGATTCTTTCTAATATATCCAATGCCCATCTTGGTGTAGCCTGGCAAAGAAACAGATTAAACAATGTTCTGGTCATTAAGAACCAAATCGAGCCTGCAAATCTCCAAGAGTACCTTTGTTTGTACTTCAAAGAAAGCTCTTTCCAATACGCAGTTTCCTCCTTTGGACTCGAGAAAGTTTGGATTTCTTCACCATCCATGATCAATACAACCTGTACAATACAAACATAAGAATACACTCAGGATAAGCAGACAGGCAGATCGTCCCCAAAACTGCTGCTAAGTACTGGGTGTCGTCACCACGGCCCTTCTGACAGCGGCATCCAGACCTGGCACCCGCAAGCGGGATGTTAACGATCCCTAACAAGCATCATTCAGCACAGAGACCTGCCGCAACAAGCAACGTAATTTTATCCAGCTTCTGGAAATGCTCGTGGCAGCCGCCTGACAGGAGACAAGAAATTTTGGCTGTATTTTCTACCTGCCACTGAAACAGTAGTTAATGCCACAAGCCCACTTAAGACCACAGTTGGTAACGATATTTAAATTTACAGCTATCAAAGTTGCCACTTTCTTTCGTAAAATGGTCTTGAAGATTTTGCCTCCTGTCGCCAACACAGCGATGCACACTACAACTCCTGTTACAGCTGGAATGGTGTGTAGTGAACAAGGACAAGCACTGAGGTCAACTGTTACCATGCTGTGCTGCAGAGATTAAAATTTACTCTTCCTATGTCCAATCCTAGCTAACTGCCGCTTTTATGGAAAACACGCAGGTAACAAGTTATCCACACAGTTTTGCTCCCTCTGTCCTCTCAGAGGGACACGAGGAAGATCAGCCTCTCTCATAAAATTACACGGTCACGTCACACAACAGCGCTTTCAGCCTGAAGGGGTTCCGAGGACCAGCTTCCCAGGCCAAGGCAGAGGGACCACGCTCTCAGGATGAGGACCTCCTTTCTTCAGTTGCTTGGACCACTGGGTGCCATCTGAATTGCTGCTCGGCTGTTAGCCAGGGGAAGAAACGCAACCCAATACATACTTTTTATACTGCTGCTCAGTAACGGAGCAACACACAGTCCAGGGGGACATGAGACATCACACACAGGTCTCGGAAGCTGATGAAGAGGATGAAGTGGTGGTCGTGGTCCTGCCATGCCCAGCAGGACCAAGAGAACTGGTCAGACAGGCACACTTCCCAACCACAGCCAGGAGATGCAACACACCATGTCCCATTTCTGAGCTCTCCCCAAGCAATTCCACAACTCTTTTATGGGTAGGCATCTTTTTTTCTCCCCAAAAGTCAACACTCAAATTCTGTTATTAACACCCAGAAAAGAATAAGCAGAAAAACTGAAAGAATAAGCTGAAACCAATCTTTTCTCTGTACATGGCAAAAGCTTTAAACAATGCTTGCATCAGGCTCATCAATCGGTAATGGCTGACCTAGAAGTCCTGACTTTCACACTCCAACAGGCATCAATAGCCAACACTGTCCCTTCAGGCCTAAAACTGTCACGCTAACATGTCCTGCATCTCCGCAACCCACATTTCAGACACCCAAAAGTGGGACAAAACAGTCCCCTGCTTTCATCAGAGGGCAGACAGGCTCATTTCAGAGGCTGGCACTTAGCTCATGAATAAAGCGAGGCAGAGCTGTTATGTTTGTTCTTCAGCTGAGAGCCCCCCTGCCACAACCTGAGGGCACAAGATCAAATTTATCCAGAGGGTGGTAAGCGCCTCAAAAGCACCCCAGCTCTCTCGGGCTGTGTTTATTTAACTTTACAGCTTCATTGCAGAAGAAAGGTTGTCGGGAATCAGGTCTGCACACTGCCAGAGAGAACTGAGAGTGTTCATTTTCTGCATTGCCCTGTACTGAGAAAATAGAACATAAGTGTCCATATTCCATTCCACTATTCTATTCCATTATAATTCCACCAAGCACATATATTTTCAGGCCTGCTGTACCTCTTCAGATAAATTTCTTGGGGTGTACTTGCTTCAGTTGTTTCACCTGTTACCAAGGCT